CTTTCTTTCTCTTTCTTTCTTTTTTTCTTTCTTTCTTTCTTACATGTGAAGTACAGTACTTATACATTTTGATAGCCATTTATTAAGTCTTTCTATTGAAAGATCGATCCCAACTAGATCTTCTCCTCAATTTGCATGTTACATAAACTTATGCAGATGCCAGTATTTGTGTGGATGCTGCTATGGATATGAGGATTCTGTTTCATGCCAGAGGGACTGGGGGACATCACAAGTATGCAGCATTTTTAATTTCAAATTTTCTTCAGATGTCACTGGTTCATAATAGTCCTATTGCAATTCGTTTATTCAAATGTTTTTTGGTAGCTGATGAGATCCCTGGATACTTGTAGGGAGGATGACAGGGAATAAAAGAGACAGAGGCAATGTTTAAGACATAAGGGGAGACCAGGAGGAATCTGCCTCTAGTGTACAGGTTCGATAAATTCCACAGTGGAGCTACTTTTATTATTCAGCAAGAATAGCAGGGAAAGGGTTGTATACTTTTCCAGGAACAGTGAGAGCAGTAAGATTAGGGTAGTAAGATAGGGAGCAAGTTTAGCATCTCAAAGGCTTGAGACCTTCCTCATAGCTGTATACCTGCATTTTATATTGTCTTTAGTAGAGGCTGTCTTGCCTCAGGAGCACTGTGATTATGTCTTTTCCACATAGCCAGGAAGCCTGTGATCTTTTGCATACTTCTCTGTTTCTGAGGCAAGTTAACACTGACCTTGGGACTGCAGGGCCTGTAACCTGGCCCCCACCAATCTATGCATATCAGACTGGTCCCCAACAAATGTGTATATATAATGTGTGATATTTTCTCATTAGAAACAAAAGAGGGAAATTAATGTATATATTTACCACTACAAAAATAGGGAAAATTATTAACATTGAGAATTTTTATAAAACAATTACAATGTCTCATGTATTTTGTGTCAGACACTGCTCTAAGCAATGTAATATTATTTACTTCATGATAATGAAATTTTCAAAGAAATATGTATACCTGTGTTTGTGATGAAAAATCCAAATCACTAAATGTATTAGATCAAAAGTTGAAGTCTTCTATACTTCTTAAAGTTAATCTTCCCATTTGTAGAAAGAAAGCCATTATTAATGCTTTGCTGAATTTCCTTCCAAACTAGTTTCTATACTTTCATTCATTATAAAAAGGTTTTCCTATATATTCCTCGAATATTTGAATTACCTATTCCATTATTTTGGATTAGAGGTAGAAAACTATAATTATTCAGTGTTCCATTAGAATGATAAGTACCTGAGATGATCAATTTGTAAAAAAAAAAAAAAATTATTTGTATGTTTCAATCCATGGCCTTGTGGCTTTGGGCATTATAGTAGCACATGATGGCAAGAGCAAAATAGCTTACTTAATTGTAAGACAGGGAACAGGAGAGAGGAAGAGAAATGGCTGAGGGTCCCACTATCTTATTCAGGGGCATGTCTCCACATGAAGCCTTGCCAGTAGGACCCATTTCTTACAGTTTCTTCCATACATCAACAATGCCAACTGTGGACCAAGACATTATATCTGGATCTTTGGGGAACATCTAGGATCCAAACTGTAGCAATTGTACTTTGACAGAAGCAGGGTTTAAAGCAGGCTATAAGACAACATGCGCTAGAGTTACTATGACAGGGCAGATACCCCAAAGAAATGCAGTCAAGTTCAAAGATTTTTCAACATTATAATGCTCTAAAACTAAAACTAAGAAGTCTTCAGGTATATTTGGCCCAATGGCTCTACATTTTTCAAGTTACATAAAAACTTTAATCTATTTTTATATTTGAAATGAAACTCAACCAAACTGTATTTTCTCCACGCAGATGTTCTATTGTTCTGACATCTTTTATTAGACAGTTTTTACAGTTTTACTGATTTGTAATTCTATGTGTATCATTTATTAGTGTATATACTGTTTCTGACCATTCAGATTTATCATTTTATCTTTATGTATACCAATAACTTAGCTTTTAATTATTATAAATTTATGATATTTATTATCAGATAGATGTATTTCCTTCTCACTTCCTTTTCTTCTTTTTCCACAAGATCATTGTTGTGTCAAAGAAAAATTGCACCTTATAAAATAAGTCAAGAAGAAAGACTATACTTAAGACTACTGCCTAGAGGTCAAGACCATTGCAATAGGGAAAAGATTGAATTTAACTCAGCTGAGACAAAACGCAGATTTTTTTTTTTTTTTAAGCACAGGGATTAGCTAGTGAGTTAGGAAACTGGCAAGTGGCTGAAGATTTACATTTTTTTCTTTTTATTGAATTTATTGGTACAATCTAGGTATACAATACAGTTACATTCATCATTGGGATCCTGTACCTCTACATAATAGGTCTTGATTCTCATTTTTTCCCCTTGTCCCTGCCCTCCCTTCACCTCCTCCTCCCCTCCCCATTTACAAACACTTTATTTCCATTTTTTCAGTTTCTCATATTTTTTAAAAAACAGATTCGGGGCCAAATATGTTCCGGGCTCAGTGTTTGCATGGACTGCCTCACAAGCACAATTCTGGGTACCAAAAAAAAAAATAAATAAATAAAAAAATAAAATAAATAAAGAAAGAAGGTTCTGTGTTTGAGTTTGTATTGTAGTTTTCATTTTGTTTTTCCAGTTAAGACAGGGTCTCCCTGTATAGCTCAGGTTGACTTTGAACTCACTATATAGCTCAGGCTGCCCTCAAACTTGCAGAAATTCTGCTTAAGTCTCTTGAATTTGTATTTTTTACAGATAAATATTCTAAGGGGAGGTCAGAGGGATATAGGAGAAATCTGTCTAAAGTTCAGCCAAGCTGAGGACAACTTTAAGGCTGTTTTGGTCAGTTGCCTTCTGTACATTTTTCCCCAGGTAAACATTAAAATCAGCTTTTCAAGATGCAAAAAGATCTTCTTGAAGACCCTCTGTATTCTGTTTGCCGGTATCTTATGAAGGATTTTTGCATCTATATTCATTGAGGAGATTGGCCTGTAGTTCTCTTTTTTAGTTTTGGAGTTTTATTTGTATTCTTAATTTGGAAACTTGATTTGGGAAGAAATGAATTTTCTATCAAGAAAATAGTCTTTACATTTAAAAATGTCTTTGCATGTTTTTCAGCAAATTTTTGATAATATTTTTCATTTGTGTCATACTCAATTCTAATGAAATTTATTCCAAGGTAGTTGATGTTTTTGGAATGGGATTTTTTATTATAGTTTTCTAAAAGATGATTCTGATGAATTGAAATGTAATTTATTTTATGTTATGTTCATAAACTCCTTATTTCTAAAGATTTGTATTAATTATCCAAATTTTCTGGGGGTATAATCACATCTGAAAATAATGACATACTGACATGCCATCGTAATGTTAAGTTCTTTATTTTATAAATGAAAAGGAAATCAAGAAACAGTTTAAAAATTTCCATTTCCAGTATGTGACAGACCTTGGACTTTAACAATTCACTGTATAATTCCATATTGTTTGTTTATGCTGTGCTAACATTGAGCGATTTTACAGGATTTATTTTCCAGAAACACTTATCCATTCTATTTTTATTTCACTATATATTTTATTTTATTTTTTGATTTTTAAAATTCGTTAGGTTTATTGGTACATTTTAGGTATGTAATATGATGACAGTCATCACTGGGAATTTGCACCTGTACATGGTATTTCTTGGTTCTTATTTTTCCCCATTCCCCTCCCCTCTCTTCCCCCTCTCCACCCCTCCCTAGTTACAAAGATTCTGATTCTGTTTTTTCCGTATCTCATGTTTATGCCTTTCCCTTCTTTTCTTTTCTCCACCCTTCCCACTTCCTCTTCCCCTTCGGACCTTTTCTTCCTATTTCACATTATCTATTATACATTTTGATCCTTATTCACACTTTTAGTTTCTCACACCAGAGAAACTATTCCATATAAAAATATGGAACACTTCATGGGTTTGTGTGTCATCCTTGGGCAGGGGCCATGCTAGTCTCTGTATTGTTCCAGTTTTAGTGTATGTACTACCGAAGTGAGCACTGATTTCTTGATAGAATAGTGTTTAGAAACAAATCTGTATTAAATTATTGTTATGGGAAATTCACAGAGACCTGAAAGCACCATGTGCTCGTGGGGTGATAGAGGTCCCACTCTTCATCCTTGAGTACCCATGCATGCTTTAGGGACACTGATTGCTTATTGTCCTTTTCGCCATGTGCAGCTTTCTTGTCTCCAGCCCCATTTCTGCCATAAAACTTTCAAAGACACAGGAGTATCATGTGGACTCTGTATCTGTCCTTATTTTCAGGTGGCCAAAACATATATTTTAGATGTAATATATTTATGCAAATCTTCAAGAAAGCAAAAAAATATATATGTCTATATTTTGTTGATGAATTGTGGTAATTGAATAAAAACTCTAATATAAAATATATATAATTGTTAAGTGTGAGGTAGGGGACTAATTTTACTATTCTAGTTTAACTCTAGGAATCTAATAGATTTTTTGGTATAGTGCCAATAGTTTTAGGGGTACACTAGGTATTGATGATTGGTTAATGCATTGCTTTTTAAATTTTTATATATGGTTTATAAATCTACTGCCAGATTCTTAAGAACACACACACACACACACACACACACATGCTATAAATGCACTATAACATATGCTATGTATATGCTAGCTATGCTATACTAATATGCTATAAGTACACTATAAATGCACATAACATTAATATATTTGATATGTTAATACATTAGAGGCTGTATAACTGAGGTTATATGAAGACTGAACAGAAATATGAAGCTTGTCTTCAGGTTTCTTCAATATTTTTTGTAGCCTGGTTGCATGATGACTAATATGCTACAAGTATGCTGTTGTACTTTAAATATCATGAAAATGTACATCTGCACTGAATTTCCTTTTTCCTTCATTTCTTTATTTCTAAATGCTGAGTTCTATCACAAATTTTGGATTGAAATTAAATCTGGGAAGTTTGGTAATGAAACTGAAATGGTAACGGTCTACATTATCCTTTAGTGAAACAAGTATAGAGGACTGAATGATTTATGGAGTAATTTTTTGCATCATTACCTGTCTTGATTATATACAAATAGCCTTTCATTTTTACTATTCAAAAGAACCATTTTATTTTTAATATGTTTACTCTGAAACTTAAAATCTTACTTGGCAATAGGATTAAATGCTATGCAAGTTTTTATGAATGCTTCTTCTGAAACCCAGAAAGACATTTTCAGATATTTTCATTGCATTCTGCAAACATGGCACTTAGCTAAAATGTACTTTCTTTTGCCCAACTTCTTCCTCTTAAAGAAGAAAGCTGAGTGTCTTTTGCTCAATTTAAACTAACATGGTCCTTTTAAAAGCAAATGTTAATGATGTTTTGTGCTGCGTTTAGAGTTTAATTTTAAAACAGTTCTTTTGGGTACTATTACTAAAATAGAATTATAAACACTATTCCCCTATGCAGCCTATTGGAATTTTTAACACTGACCATGTGGCTGAGGTGAGGTTCTAAAATATAATGCTGCAGTTAGGAAAAGATGAACTGATTCTCTTCTTGGCATCTGCTGAGTACTCTTTTTCTCTGATAATTCATTGAATGCATATTAAAATAGACTGAAACCTGCAGCATTCCGTGTACATCTGGGTTTTGGTTCTGTTTACTTTCACATATAAGGTGAGCCTAGAAAAGGGAATATTGGAACAAAAGAGGCTACGTATACAACTTTTAGGGACTGATGTGGTTGATTCCCTGAAGTCAAATAAAACTAGTTTAATGAAACAACAAAATCAAACTCATGACTGGTGACCAGAAGTGCAGTTCTAGTGCTGAATGTTTCCCTTTATGTCTGTCTGGCTTAGACATCTAGTCTTGATATATATATATAT